GAGCGGGCCCTAAAGGAGGGGGTTTTTTTGAATCCCTGGTGGCCTCCCAGGTGTTCCTTCCCGCACGACGAGCACCCCAAGGGCCAGGTCCTGCCCCCAACGTTTTTCTTTCTTTTTTTTTGGGCGCCAGTTCCTGGGGGGGCTTTGGAATTGTTTGTTTTGGGGGGGGGGGAGATAAAAAAAGTAGTGTGTGTGTGTGTGTGTGTGTGTGTGTGTGTGTGTGTGTGTGTGTGTGTGTGTGTGTGTGTGTGTGTGTGTGTGTGTGTGTGTGTGTGTGCCACGATCAACACGCGGCAACCACAAACGCGACCGCCTCCATCAACACGCGGCAAACACCAACGCGACCGCCTCCATCAAGGCAACTCACGGCGAAGACGCATGCCATCTTGTCGAATCGTCGCTCGTCGAGTGGAGCACCTGTCTTGGACAGCCGGACCTGACACACGCCGCAGTGGTGATGTGATGTTGTGAGATGAGAAGACGTGGAGGAGTGACAATTCACGTGGACATGTGCGCACGAAGACACACACACACACACACACACACCCAACACAAAGCACACACCGAACACAAAGCACGCACCAGGAATGGCTCTGTGATGAAGCGGCCTGCTGTGGCATCGAAGACGCTGTAATACAGATCAGCGTTCTCGCCAACGCCGCACACAAACACCTGGAAAGCAGTGGTGGTGGTGAGCACGTGAGGCATGGGCAGCATACAACACGCGAGGCATGGGCAGCATACAGCGGGCAAGCGCATGTGGATGGTGCGCATGTATTACCTTGTGCTGGACAAAGAGGTGTTTGTTGGGCTGCCGCTGGGAGGGTCCGCCTGGAACCAATTGGAGATGGGCGCAGCGTGAGGAAAGGAAGAGAACGAGAAACAGAGAGTGTGTGTATGTATGTGCGTGTGTTTGCATAAGGGAGGGAGCTGGAGGTGTCAAGAGAGCAGGTGGCGTGAAAGCCATTGCACCACTGCATGTATTTCCGTGCATTTCCGAATATCTGTCTGTACCGGCCGATGTTGTCATGCGACGGAGAGAGGAAAGCGAGAGCGTGCGGGCACGGTTGGCCACCGCCTACAAGATCATGGTTCATGATGGGTAATGGGGGATGGGTGAGGGGAACGTGAATGGACGACAACGGGGATGTGTTTGCGTGTGTAAATGGATGTGTATGGGTGTGTTTGTGATATGTGTGTCTTGAGACGACGAGCGCAGACACAACATGCACACACACACACACACACACACACACACACACACACACACACACACACACACACACACACACACACACACACACACGCACGCACGCACCGCCTCGTGGACGCGGAAGAGGTGGAGGATGCTGGTGTCGTCGGCGGTGAGGATCTTGCCCTGCTCATCGCGCGGGATCAGGTCAAGCCCGAGGTGCTGGTTGCCCCAGTCAATCTTGTTCGTAATCTGTGTTGGAGAGAGATCGAGAGAGTGTGTGTGCGTGTGTGTGTGTGCGTGTGAGTGAGTGAGCGAGTGAGAGAGAGAGAGAGAGAGAGAGAGTGTGTGTGTGTGTGTGTGTGTGTATGAGTGTGTGAGCGAGTGCGTTAGGCATGGTGTGTGCGTGAGCATGTGCGGGGTGACTGTGGTGGAACAACCAATGCCATAGCTGCGACATGTGTGCGTGTGTGCGGCACCTTTGATCGGAGGTTTGCCTGCAGGTCCTCTGGCAGCACGTCGAGCATGAGCTGTTGCCGCAGCATCACCAGATCGTTGACAGCAGGCAGCAGCCGCTCAAACTTCTGCAGGTTCGACTGTTGTGCGGAGAGGGGGCAATGGTGCATACGAGGGAGGAAGTGTGGAAGTACAGGTGAATACGCGCAGTTGTACAGGCAACAGAGATGTACCAGCGGATACAGGAGCGAGCAGCGCGGGTGTCTTGCTGGAGGCGAAGCAATGCACGCAATGGAACATACGCACCAGGTACAGCTGCTTCATGTGCTTGCCCCATTCCCGCAAGACGTCGACGACCTCGAGGGAAACTGGATCGTCCGAAGGCTGCACTTGCTCAAATTGCCTGCAAACACATACACACATACACACAACCACGCACGGTGAGCGGTGGGTGTGGGAAATGGCACAAACACTCATATGATGTGTGCTTTTCATGGTGCTTTTCATCAACGCCGTATTGACAAGCTCGCACGCATCATGCATGGCGACGCACCCGGAGTTGTGGACGATGCACGGCCTGACGCGGATGTGATTGGCCGGGAAGATGCCCAGGTGGGATGAACCGCCCAGCACACGGCCCCGGTACCATCCTGATCAAGTGGACGGGTGCACGGGGGTGAGTGAAGAGGAATGGAAAGGTGGTGGACGGGACTAGTGGTGTTGGGGAGAAAAAGGGACAGTGGTGATGACTCGGGCGGAGGGGCAGAAGTATCAGGGCAAAGCATTTGACACACACCAAAAGCAGACACACAAACACACAGCAGACACACACACACACACACACACACACACACACATGCACCCACACCTTGAAGAGAAACACACACACAACGTGGAGTGTGCTTTCTAAAACACACAACCACCATCATATACAAACTCCCCTTTTTTTAAGAAATTGAAGGGGCACCGATGTTTCAGTAGTACGGAAATGTTCCGGGGATCCAGATACTCCCACCCCCGCTGAACGTAAGTAATCGTCGAAATTGTCGACCAAACGGGGGGGTGGGGGGCAAGTTCACCGTGCGAGTTGAGAGGGGTGTGCGGCCCCGATCAATCCAACAAAGCATACACAAAACATAGCGACTTACTGCCCATCCGATCTCAAGGACATAAAAATTTACACAGAGCACGCCTAACCCTTCCCTGGCATTG